CAGCTGGGTCCAGAGCTCCACCACGTTTCATCCCAGTAACTCCACACAAGGATTTCATTACACTTTTCTAATCACAAGCTGTTTTGTTACCTCCATTATTGTTCTAAATGAGAATTAGGCACAACATGTGCTTAATTCAGGCTATGAGTTGAGCTAGCAAAAATCTAAGCTTATATCCAAACTGTACAAATAGCTGAGGGGTTTTATTTCCACCAGTTTGGTGAAGAGAACTGGCCACAAAACCTCACAGCCTCACACTACCCCAAAAGTCTTCTGGCAGCCTCCATCCCCAAATGCCCTGAGCTGCCTGGGGCTCAGGGCTGGGTCCAAACCTCTTGGCTCAAAGCAAAAAGACTGGGATTAAATGTTGTTTGAGACTGCTGACGATGCTAACACCAAAGATGCCCATCTACATGTGTTCTGTTCATCCCATAAAAAATAAGAACTGAGGGCATAAACCAGTTGTCCACACACTTCAGCTTCCTGTCACTTATGCTGATGGCTTGCAGAAACTTGGTGAGTGGAGAAAAAAACCCTCACCTGAGGAGTGTGCTGGGGAGTCTGCTGGGGACAACTGAGAAAAGAAAGATTTTGTGGCACTCCTCTACTTCATTCTGTCAGCTATCACTAATGGGATTGGTATTATCTCCTCACATTTCACTCTGTGTGCCACCAGATAACTCTGCAAAGAGTTTTTTAAGTCATGAAACTCACTTTCTGCGTAGCTGAACACCCACTTGTTCCAATGGTACAAGAAAAGTAAACTGAGCACCTCAAGTTCACCATTTCTCTATCATTCCTCTCCCTGCATTCCTCTGTGGTTTTGCCTTGTCCTTCCTGTGTGATCCCTGACTCTCTGGATTCACCTCTAGTGCTTTGCCATGTTTGTTATTGGTGATGAACTTAAAACTGAAGGGAGGGGGCAGCTTTTGCCATTAAAAACCTAATTGGCCAACTCAGTGGTGCTGTCAGACAATAAAGGAATCCATGGTCAGCAGAGCCAGCAGACTAATTGCCATGGCTCAATTCCTTCTCCTTTCAAAGCTGGGAAAAGGTGGTGAGTGAGGCCAGCTTGCAAAGAGCACTGCACAGCATCCTAACTCTCCTTTAGTCTCTGAATTGGTGTGATCTTTGTTGTGTCGGGTGTTCAGGGCTCTCTAATTGCTGCTGTTGGTTCCTGGTAACGAAGGAGTGAGCCAGCACTGGACAAATCCCCAGTGTAACACTCCAGCAATCTCACTGCACAGAGTCTGAAGTGGACTCTGTCAAGGTTTCTGAGAGGTGTTGGTGCTGCTGTTTTACGAGATGGGTGCACTGGAGACATTCAAATACTTATGGCTCAGGTGACTTACTATCCATTACGGTTTACTGTGGTCCACTAAAAATAAAGAACAAGACATTGCTGCCACTTGTCAAAAGACAAAACCTTCAAGCAGAAAAAAACCCAGACTTATTTGACTGGAGATGTTAGCTGGTGTTGCTTTATGATTACTGCAGGGTAAGGTGTTATCATTCACACTGTGCCTTCACACAGTCTGGCTGAGAAGTGACAGTAAAGTCCCTCTTGAAATCCAGCTCTGGATCAGAATGGGGGGGGGGGCAGTACCTCCAGAGCCTGGTGTGGTGCAGGACCCTCTAGAGACCTGACTAAGTGTGACCCAAGGTGCTGGTCAAACTGCCAGTATATTGGCCTTTCTTCTTTCCAAACAAACAGCTGCATTTAGAAGATAATACCAGTCACAAACATCAAAAGGCCATGCTCGGAAAAACACCAGGACTTTAGGCTAAATGTGTTTTCTGAGGCTGAAAAACACTCGAATAGGAAGGACAAAGCTGACTTGGCCAAGGGCTGTCCATCTCCCCTGAGCTCAGCACAAAGGGATCCCACAGTTGCACACAACTCCAGGAAGGAACACACGTTCAGGTAACATCTGAAGCAGCGGAATCGCAGGAAGCGCAGCCGCTCCCACAGCACGACTGCAAATGGCCTTCCTGTATCTCAGACTGTCCCCTAGGACTTGGAATGTTAGTCCCCAGATCATAATCAAATCACCTCGAGGATTACAGGACATAAAACCACTTCTGCACACATACTGCAATATGATCAATGCATTCCCAACCAGAACTACTACTGTGTTCTGCGAGTCCCAATCTTTGAGTGGTATTTTTAGCAAACTTACCTTTAGCAGCCACTTAGAAACTATTCCTTCACATCACCATCACCTCTTCACGGTCAGGTCAAATGACACCCTCAATTTAACTGCTTTTGCATGAAGTTGTAAGCACAGAGACCAGCAGACATCAGCAAAATGCTGATTTTTACTACAAAACTAACCATTTATTCTACCCCAAAACTCACGCACACGTGCCTATTGACTCTGCTTGGTGCCTGCAGCTGATTCCCTCAAATCCCATCCTGCCTAAGGACAACACCCAGCTGCTTTGGTCCTTGCCAACAGGACAGAAAAGCCATGTTGACATCTGAGTTTTGTCCTACCCATTGCATTCCTTTTCCCAGGGATGTTAACCCCAGCACCACCACCTTCCCGTGCAGCAGGATGTGCAACTGCCATCTGTTTTGCTGGCAATTCTTCAAAAAATATTTAAATATTGGTGGAACTTACAATAGTGCAAATGAAACATGACAAAACTGTAACACAACATAATGTCCCCCTGGAGTAAATTCATGATGTTTGAAATGGGAAGAATCTCTGTCCAAGTGCTCACAGTCCCATCTCCCACCAGTTTGCTGAACTCCCTCCCACCCACTTGTGTCAGAGCACGCCTGTTCCCAAAATGTGCACATAGGAGCTGCTTTCCACAAACCTTTTCCATTTTCAGCTGGATTAAACCATTTCTGTGCTGGTGCCAGGGAATGATCACGGAAACAGTAAGGAGCCGCACAGCTTAAATACACCCAGCACAAGGAACCAGCAGTAACATCCTGACCAAAATTTATCCTATTTACCTATTTCTTTTTCACTTCTCTTTAATAAACTGGATATTGAACAGCAGAAACAGCTCTAGTTACAGCAATCCCTGATTACTTATGCTTAAAGTTTACCTTTACCTTTCAAATCCCTTCTGAATTTGGAAATTAATTTGGCTTTTCTGTTTTACATCTCTTACATTTTCAAATGTTATCTCACCTTCACCAGGACTGTGTTCAACACCTCATCTATGTGATCTGTTCGTTCATTTATCTTTTAAGGGTTTGTTTCTTCAAGCTCTCATTACTGGGAGCCGCTTCTGTCCTTTCAGACCCCAAAAGTGCAAAGTGCAATCAGCTGCTTCCAAAGCTCTGCCCTCCCTTAGCAGCAATGACAGTAAGAAAGAGGAAACTGAAGCTGGAGGCTCCAGACTCAGATGGGTTGATTTGGGCTGCACCTTCCAGCACCTCTTCCCACCACTTTGAACGACCCTCAACCATCCCCTGAAGCAGATGGAGCAGCGTCAGCCCCTGTGCTGAGCACACAGTCCTGCAGGCAGAGCACCACCTCTGTGGCATCTGCCTGTATTCCCACAGCTAAAGCAAACTCTGAGACATATCTTAGGAATGTAAGAGCCTTCACTGATCTGCACAATTTTCAACAAGTGCTCTGTGCATGGCACTTGACATATTTATTGGGTGCTCTGAGATCATGGGGAGTTTTGACAATAATCGTATTAGACCCAACCATTTTGTCTATATTGCACCCGATAACGGCATTTATGTTATGAACACAGTCATTGCAAAAAGAGAGTGACGTTGTCAACCCCTGCTCTAAACAGCTGTTTTGCTCAGTTGTTTCATGAAATAACTGAAAATTGTAGGTAGGCATTACATGGAATGCCTAACCCCCGAATATTTAGGATTATTATATGAAAAGGACAGGAAAACTATTTGCTACATTACATTCCTTTATGAAACTTCACAGTCTTTAAGAGATTTCGTCTTGAAACCACACTGGCAAAACCTGTCACTTTTCTGAACTCATCCTCACTGTTACAATTGAGCCTATTTTCTGCAGTGACTGAAAGTTTGAGTCATTTAGCACAAAAATGCTCCCACAACAGGATTCTAAAAGTAATACCACTCATTCCACAATTTCTGTGCTGTATTTTGTTCAACAACCATGCAGAACCATCAAGCAGAGAAAGAAAGTGCCCAGGATTTTCCTGAGTCGCAGACTGCCTCCAGCTGCCACTCCTCCCATCAGTGACTGATTTCACAACACGACCACAACACACGGAGGCTTCATTTTCAAAGTTTTGCCCCCTTTCTCTTAGTGTTATTAGATATCATTTTTCAATGTCTGCATCCTGCACAGATCATCCTTTGAATTTACAGTCTGATCCATTTCCCTCTTAATTTAGTAGGAGCTGCAGTGGACACAGATAGGTCCTGTCAAGGTACAGCTTTTCTGTAGACAGTGGGGTAACACAGGCGAGAAAACAGTGCCACTAAATCACAAGAATAATTTCCTGTCGGTCTGAGCCTGAAAACATCTGAAACAGTCTCACACATCCCTCTTCATCATCAACACTGCTCATGCCACTGCTCACATTGAGCTGAACAACCAGATCCCTCTTCTAAATCATGCGGAGATGGGAAAACCAAGTGTGATTCAAGTGTCAGCATCGCACTGTGGGGTTCGGCCCCCACTCACAGGGTGCACTGCATGGAGAGATCCACACACCTGATCACCAAAGCCCATGGGCTTCAGAGTCTGAAGCATACAGAGAGGAAACAGGATCAGCCCCACGTGGCATCCCAATTCCCTCTTTCCTCTTAGATCCAAAAAAAGCCCCTGAGTGCTGCTTTCTCACAGCCAGGCAGGTGTTGGGTCTGATGTATCTGACTCACACTCCCTGGCACGGGAGGAACCAAGGGTCCCACTACTTCATTAGACTTTGCCTCCAAGAGACAAATCTTCCCAGGTTTCATTAAATATGCTTAGACTGTGGGGTGCTTTAAAACCCCGTGCAGTTACAGGGGTGCAGCCTGCCCCCACTTAAATGCAGATGTTTTAAGAATAATTATAAATTGCTCAGTCTCCATGTGAAGCAGCAGCAGAACAGAGCTGAAACGTGCAGGGAAGGCGGCAGCACAGGCAGTCCTGAGGACACCAGCAACTGCCTTTCAGCTCTCACATTTATAAATATTTTACTTCCAGCCAACTGTGCCCAGAATAACAATTTTCTGCCTGAAATCTCCAAGCTGGTGCCGGGAGGCTGTCAGGGACTCGCTTTCCCGGGACCCTCTCGACCTGTTGGGAAGGGGTCCGGGTCTCCAGAGGAGCGGCTTCAGAAGGATCTGCCCCTAGTGGGAAGAGGCACCGAGAAACAAACACTGAGCATCCGTTCAGCTGATCGCATTAGGGCTTCACGCTGCTGCCGCCACTCAGCCCTCTGCCGATGCAGCCATCCGTGCGCTTGGACAAACATCCAGGCAGAGGGAATGGCTAGGTCTGGAAACGTCTGCAGCTGCAGGAGGCTGCAGAGCTCTGCCGTGGAGCAGCCGTAGAGAGAGGCTGTTTCCCCGAGCAGGGGAGCGTTATGAAACACGAGTGCACCGGCTGTGCCTGAGGATTTTGGCAGCGCGGCGCGGAGGCTGCTTCCATCCAGCCTGTTGGCGCAGGAGGCCATGGAGCGGTTCCCTGCCGCCGGCCCCCGCAGGGCGCAGGACCCCGGAGCCCCGGCCCGGTGAGACACGGGGACCCCGGCGAGCCGCAGGGACCGCGGGGACGGCAGCGGTGAGCGGGGCCGGGGCAGGGCGGACGGGGGGACCGAGCCCGCAGAGCCCGCACGGAGCGGTGCGCGGGATTACGGTCTGCGCGCTGGAACCGGGCGGCGGGAGAAGGATTAGTAGGGAAGGGCAGAGGGAGCGGGATTTACCAGCTTTTCAGACATGCATTACGGCTTTTTATAATATTTCACTGGATTGTCCAGGACTTTGCCTGGCTACAACAGGGGTTCCTCGGCCATAAAGGAAAGGTGAGGTTTTTCTTCTTTTTCTCACGGTTGCAGTACCTGCCTCTTGGAGCCGTGTGCCAGCTGGCCTAGGCACGAGCAAAAACCGGACAACTTTTTGCAGAGGCTGAGGGATCAGCGTTCATTGCAGTCTCAATGGCTGTTTGATTTATTAAATTTATCCACAGCTCCTAACTAGACGGGGCTTAGTGGCATTATTTATAAAGACTTCAGTTTGGTCTCGAGATGCCCTTTCCCCAAGCATCCACGGAACATTATGCTTGAAAAGTCAGCATGGATACTGCGAGTATGTTTCTGTCAGCCTGATCAGGCAGGCTGGAATGCTCAGCTTCTCCAAACAGTTTCTGGAACATCACTGTGCTGAACAAATACACTCTTAACAACGTGAATGTTGCAGGAATTCATATATTGAAGGGTTTATGGAAGATACTTTTTAAACACCTATGATTTAGTTACAAAGCTGTATGTTATTTTAATTCAAGTAGATTTCTTTGCACACAGGAAAGATCTCATCTCTAGCTCCTGTGGGCTAAAGCAGACATCAATATATGGTAGATTTGTTATAACATTCTCATGCAAAACTTCAGCCACAGACCATATAGGGGCTTTTGGAAACTGCAGATCATCATTTGCTGGGTACTTGAACTTTTAATATCAAAGGATATACATCATGCATGAACGCTTTACTATTGACAAAATACTTTGAAGGCTCAGGAATAGTTTGCTGAAAGCTCTTGGTTTATCAGCCTGTATATCACCTCTGGAGCACACATCCCTCTGTGTAGAGAATGCACACACGTATGTGTGTGCACGTCTACCTCTGAAATAGGGGTTGGCATATGCCCACATCTTTTCCATACTGGTGTGGAATCAGTTCTCCTGATTCCTGCATTATCACTGAGCTAAGTAAAACGTATGGGATTAGTGCAGAAATACCATGTCACCACAGTGTGCTCTCTACTCAAGCTGTCTCTGAGCACTTTCCAAGTCACACTGTTCCACAACAAGCCTTGCTGGACCAGCTGCCTCCCATAGACTCCTCTGCATCCCTCACCTCAGGCTCTGCGCTCACCAACAACATTATTGTCCAGATTTACACCTATTTATGATAAAAAATTAGTCTCAAAAAGTGGACTATCTGGTGAAAGAGCTGCTGGGACTGAATTTGCACAAGTTAGTGCTGCCTCTCCAGCCTCAGGCTGCAGCTCTGCTCTGTGACATTACCTTTCCCTTCCAAAGCTGAATTATCTGTCACTGTAAAACACCTCCCATATTGAATACAGGGGGTATAATGTATGTATTGTGTTATTTTCAACTTGATTTGACTACTTTATGGACTACAGAGTTTTTTCTCTGTCTTCCTGCTAACTCAGCATAAAGATTTTTTTTCTGCCTTATTTATCACCATTCAGTATTATTTAAAAGTTTTAACACAATCTCAGCATCAAAGATAACTTTGCAATTTGATTACATATTGTAGCAAACACACTTGTAGCAAGCAATGGTAAACTTGCTGGAAAGCCCTCTCAAGCTGCAATGCTTGCCACCAGGGCATGTGGAGAAAGGGGTGCTTTTACCTCATTTCTAGCTTGCTACAGACCTTACAGGGAGATACGTGCGTCAGGTCAGTACAAACCCATCCTCTAGCAAGAAGAACTTTCTAAGTTGGAAGAAGTACTTGAAGAAGTGCCTACTGCTTCCAGCAGCCCTGAGGATGAGGCCAGATCCTTTGGGAAGGCAGCTGGCATGCCACATCAGGGCTGCCTGAAGGTCCCTTCCCTTCTGTCTCATCGGTCACTCCATTGCTTTACTGAAAATCCCTAGACCATAAGTTTCATTTTGATGGAAAAGGGGTGAAAGAGTTAGTTTCTAGAAATATTTAAAAGCCAAATTATTTTCTAAATCACAGTGGTGGAGGTGACTTGAAAGGAAATGAGGAAAACACCTTTTCTCATATTTAGATGCAAACCCTCAGCAGGTTCTGCAGCAGCAGAACTGACTGATGTGTGTTCCACGTGGAGGGTGACACAGGCTGTGCCCGAGCAAAGCAGGGGCACTAACTCATCCTCAGCCTTGTGGGCCCAAGCTGGATGTTCCTGCCTCGGAGCAAAGAACAAAAGCAACCTGAGTTTTCCCCTTACCTTGCAGAAAGGGCAGGGATGAGAAGAACAGAGAGCAGCAGAGCGGGCACAGTGGCAGCAGGAGCCATGGGCACAGTGGCAGCAGGAGCTGTGGGCACAGCAGGAGTGGGACGTGGGGCACAGCAGGAGCAGGACATGGGGCACAGCAGGAGCAGGACATGGGGCACAGCAGGAGCGAGTGGGACGTGGGGCACACCAGGGCTGTGCCCTGGCCCTGCCTGCGCAGCACAGCTCGTGCCCTGCGACAGAACCCACACACGTAGGGCTGTCGGAAGAGATGCCTGCCCAGGGCCAGAGCTGGAGGGTGCTTCTGCCTCCAGCTGAAGCCAAATGCTCTTGAAAGGCCAGATTGTGAATTCTGGATGGGTCTCATTCGAGCACTGCACCATAACTGCCAGAAAGGTCAGCGACCGGGTTGTCGTCCACAGCGACATGAAGGACATGAACATTACTCTTCATCAAAAATTTCCCCTCTTTTTGGTGAAAGAATATCCAAGGAAAGGTGATGGAATTACAAAATCACCTTTCTTTCCTTTGCCTGAATTCCTCAATTATGTTGTCACTGAGACAATTCCACATGACACTTTCTTAAGGAGCTAGAAAAAGTAACAATGGACCTGAACCAAAATCGATCAGCGTCAACCTGTATCCTGATTTGGGTGGATTTTGGCTGAAGACAGTAGAGCACGAGGATGTTTCTTCTAAGCTTCACTTTCAGCATCTGCCACTTTCCACACAAAAATGATCCACAGTTTCATTTTTCTCTCTTTTTCCAATATTTGGAAACTGGAATAATAAAGAATTTCTCTGTCGATTCCACTCAAGGTATGAGGGAAGAGCTCCCCTCAACTTTGTTGTCTTTTCTAACCCCTTTCTCAAACCTGGAGAGATGCTCTGGGCACAATATGAAAGCATGGCTACAAGGAGCACTCACTGTCAGCTGTCTCAGTTTCTCAGGATGATTTCAGGTATCGGAATAAAGGGAACTGCAAATACTTGGCAGGGTCCCAGCATCGAATTTGTGGCTTCTTAAGAGTTTTACTTCCTATGTGCATTCACACAGTATGATGTTTCCCTTGACTTTCCAAACTGCCTTGAGAAAAAGGCAGTGTGTATCCAAAGAAAAGGCTGTGAGCCAGAATCCTTCAGCTAGGGCCTAACTGACTGCACTTGTCCTCAAAGAAAGCTGACAAAAGAAAGGAGAAATGTGGAAGAGGGATGGATTTTTCTAAAAATAGTGTACCTGAGTCCAATTCCCTTCAGTTTACAATAGAAAACATCTTGCTTCCATGCCAAGAACTCTGAATTTGCAAAATCCTGCTGCTCTTTAGACAAGACCAACTCTTGATGAGCTGCAGTCACCAATGCAGCACTGACCTGAGCTTCTGCATTGAGCACATATCAAGGGAAAGCCCTCACATAAGCAACTCTTCACCTTCAAGTCTGGGGCTGTTTTTCAGTGTCTTCAGCCTTTACCAGCATTCTTGGCATCACTGAAAGTATTCAGCCTTCCCTTAAGAATTCTGTAACTGCTCCTTGAGCTAGGAGAGCAGAATTGCCAAGAGCTTTACCATGTTTCTTTTATTTCTCTTTATGAACGCATTAACACAGCTGCCTAGTGTGATATCCTCTGTTACACTTTGCAAGATCATTTTGGAAGCAAGGTACTGACCTGCTTTTCCTTATAGCAACTTTCTGGTGGCAAGGGATTCTTTCCCTGCTGAAGGCCCAGGACCCAGTGGATCTCCCGCTTCCACTCACCATCCCCCAAGCTGATACTTGCCAGTGCTAATTACTGCCCTTCTCCCTGGCCCCCCACCCGCCCTGCAGCCTGTGCAGCATTAACCCTTTCATCACCTTCTTCACCTAGAGATCTCCTCTGCCATTTCACAGTTCTCATTGCTCATCTCAAACTCCTTTCAATTACAATTTTATGATTTTACAAACAATTCCTAATTAATATGGTCCTAAACACCTTTGACTGTGAGAACTGATGAACAGAGGAATGCTTTTCTTCTGTTTCACTTCATTCATTTTAAGTGAAACATGCATGAAAAAGATAAATGTTGCATTTTCTATTACCAGATACTAGTTCTTTCCTTCTTACTCTTTCCTGTTTAATATCATCATCAAAAGTGATGCACTTGAATTCTTCTAGGCATACTTTGATGATATTGCAATATGCAGTTTATGGAAAAATCAAATGACAGTTTTTATGTCAGTAGCACCCTCTGCTATTTCCCCACTAAAAAGCAACATTTAATTTTTGAGTTGTACATTCGTAGCAGTCTGTGGGCAGAGAGTCTCCTTATTTATTTGGTTGGATTTTACTACAATGCACTGTCATGGCAACTGCTCTAAGGGCAAGTGCATCTGGAGGTAATTCATACACATCATGTTGAATGCAGCAAAATTGCCTTATACCATTTAAACTTTTTCAGCCACTGGGCAAGGACAAAGTTAGCCTTCTGAGACATAGAAGCAGCTTTTCCTTAGTAAATAAATAAATAAACAAACTTGGCAGAGCAACAGGAGCAATGCCAAACATTTCTTTGTGTTTGGGCACAGAGCCTGCTGCACAGTTAAATTAGGTCTGATACCTTGGGTGTTTTCTCCAGTTCTGCTGATGCACAGCAAGTTTTCCATCCTGCTCATGTGGAGGTGGAACATCACACCCTACCACAGCGCTCTTTGGGCAGGTGGTGGCCAGACTGGCCTCCCCTGGCTCCAGGAAACATTGCCACATGCTGCCTGGGCAAGTGGCAGATCCTCTCATCCTGGGGATGGTGCAGCCTCCAGCTGTTCCACTCTACACCACTGCAAACATGGACAAACTACCCAAATCCACTGACCAAGCACACAGTGGTGTTAAAAGAGACTGAACTGGGCCAGTGAAGCCTAACATGCCCAACCTCTGCTACACGGCCTCAGTGGCCCTTCTCCAGCCGAGCTGCCACTCTGGGCACGGCTCCATGAGGCACGGCTCGATGAGCCCAAAGGCTGTGGCTGCTGCAGCACAGCCTCTCCAGTGCCAGCAACAGTGCATCTGAGAACCTGGCCTTGAAGCATCTCTCACTTTGTGAATAAACCAAAAGAGCTGTGAAACCCTGAATTACTGCAAATCTGATCAGTTTATCTGGCCTCATCTTGCTGCTGGGGGGGGGAATCTTAAATCTTTTGAAGTCCTGTGTGACTGCAGCCATTGCCATCTCCCGGATGAGGCTTTGCAGCAGTGTTTTACCACCACTTTATAGTGCAGATGACACCTCCAAGAGCACGGTGTGCCCAGCCCTCGGCTGCTGAGGCAAACAGCCACCTGCCCACTGACCCAGCCTTCCCTCAAAGTACTGCTGGCTGCACGGAGCACGGTCATTCCCAGCCCAAATTCCAAGCTAATATCTGCACATAGCTTGCTTTCAGATCAGACAGCCTCCATTGGGAACAACTCAAGTTTCCAGCAGCCCCATGGCAGGAACAACTAGTGAATCGAATCCCACCTATGCTCAGAGACTATTTCTTCAGATGAATTAGCGCAGTAACAACTTGCAGGATCTAATTAGGGCTAATTTTCCATTCATCTGTCTTGGTACTTCTGACCCTTTTACTGCAATGCTTGAGCACTCACAACATTGATCAGAGATTTTCAATAATTTACCAAGGGTCAGCTCTTCAGCTGGTGTAAATCAATGCATTTTCTTTGGCTTTGAAGGGAGGTGTGCAACTTCTCCTGTAGTGAGAGTAGTCAGAATTCACTGCAGATGTACAGCCTGGCTGTGCTTCTCACCTGCTCATGCTCCCGAGCCCTTAGAGAAATAAGGACATAGAATATTTTTACTCAGTCCCATACAACTAAAATCAGCATACATGAACTTCAACAACACAACAACAACTTAAAAAAATACCTAAATCAGGTCTTCAAGGCCACCTAAATTTTAAGATTAGAGACAGGGACTCCTGCCTTGTGACAGCTGTGTTTAAGAATCAAGGCTGAAAGGTCACACAAAAGGAATTCAGGCTCAACTGACAAAAGACTCAGCTGAGCCTTAATTTGTTTTTGTCCTACAAGTTTTGAACCTTTGGTTTTGGTTATTGTTTAAGACAGAAAGAATTTGCCCAACCAAATGAAAAAGGGAATGGGTGGAGACTTAATTGGTAACATTTATTTAATAAAGAGGCATAAGTGAATATCCACAAAACTTTCAGTCAGATACAGAAACAAGAAATACCAGTAAGCAAACGTTCATTGAGAGGACTGTGGATTTCAGGAGTGTGCCCCAATTGCAAGCTAAACAAAAGCCATAATATTTTCTTTTCTGGAAAACACTGCATATTTTCTCAACACTTGCCTGGCTCCACAGAGAAGGGATGCACTGGGAAAACAGGAACTTATGGGGAGATGCCAGCTTTTATTTGCCATGGGAGGTTAAAGGTTCCCTAGAGCACAAAGGAGCTTTTCTTGCCCAGACAATCTCATCGTGATACACATCAGCACAACTAAAGCTGCAAAGCTCAGCAGCAGTCAAGAGAGATCTGCTGAACTTGAGATGAAATTTTTTCAAACATTCACTACTTTTTATCCACACGCATCCACACATCAATAGTTGGCAATATGAATCTACAAAAAAAAAAAAAAAGCAGGATCTCTGGTTTTTGATAAAGCAACATGCACAACAACTCCCCCAGCTCTGTAAATACAGAACCCCCAAGTATCTTTCCAGCATAAAGCCCAACTTCATTGTGCTGCACAGAGATTAATAATTATCATCTTATCTATTGTGAGTTAATGCAATTTCTTTTTTCCTCCCACACACCCACACTTCAGTTTCCTTCTGATCTGCATTTGTAGCTCAGCTACTGTTTAGCTGAAAGGAAGGAATCTGGTAATACCTCTGTAAAAAGATGCCTGTACTGTGGCTGCCTGTTCAGCCAGTGACAAAGGATGGAGATGCTGGCTACTGACAAAAGAAAATAACTTCCTTTCCAATCGTCCCGAGATAAATAACCTCACCATAAAGGTATTTTTTGTGCATTCCAAGGAAAGAGAAAGGAAAGAAAAAAAGTCTGAAGATCTGAAACTCACTTGTACTCAATCAATTGTTCTCATTGGATTATAGTTCTTAATGTGCATAATTATAAACAACAGATGGAGAAATGCTCATCTAAAGTCAAAAGGGGTGGGTGGATGGGGGAAAGTGACCCTGATGGTGCATATTTTCAATTTGGATGTGAACCAACCTTCCTCCCCTTGGTAATTCAGGTTTCAGCATCGGCTGTTCGGCAGGACATGATGAAGGCATCACCCTGGGAACGTGCAGAGACCCTGGGCCAGCCTGGTGCCTGAGGCTGGTGGCAGTGCTGCACCAAGCTGGTCTCTGCTGCAGCTGGCTGGGAAGAAGCTTTTCATCGGAGGAAGGCACCAAAGTGATGGGCTGAACTTACGGGAGGAATGAGCATCTGGTCAGGTGGAGATTCAGGGACCCGTCGGGAGGCGTGAAGGGCCCAGTTTCAGTAAGGGCATGGCCAAAGCTTTCTTCAGGCTACAGAAGTTTCTCCGTCGGACCCAGTTTCTGCTCTTCTTCCTCACAGCAGCTTACCTGATGGCTGGCAGCCTCCTGCTGCTGCAGCGGACCCGCCTGGTTATCCAGCAAGGTTCACACGGGACCTCCGCTAACCAGGCCCTGGCAGTGCCAGATGAGACAGCCGGGGTGGGGATGGCAGAGCCCAGGGCTCTGCAGAACCCCCGCCCTGCTCCCAGGCTGCTGGTGGGCATGGATGCGCTGCAGGAGCCGGCCCTGGACCAGCGGCACAGCCCACGCTGGCTCGTGTCCCGCAATTCGGAGCTCAGGCAGCTGAGAAGGAGGTGGTTTCACAGGTTCATCAGCAACCAGGAGCCCATGGAGACAGCAGGATTTAAAGTGATCAAACACACTGCTGAACACAAAGGTAAGGGACGTACCTTGCACATTTTCTGGCACGCACAGAAACTGCACCTTGCACGTCCCAGGCAGACACAGGTGAGCACCACAATGTGTCCCTGCAGATGGGCCTTCCTCCTCACTCATCACTACTTTCAAAACAGTTCTTAGGCACGTGCACATGCCAAAGTACAAACCTAACCTCCCTGGTCATGCTGAGCTGTAACTTCCTCCAAAAAAGTAATTTTATTGATTGAATGGAAGCCCAGACAGTGCAATGTGCTTCCCTAATTTAAATTATTTTCTCTTCAAGCAGGCAGAGATGACCATTTTAATTGATTTTCTTTCTCAGAAGAAGGAACACTTTAAAAGTGGATTTTATCAAATTAACTATCCAAGACCACACAGTACCATAAGTCTAGAAGTGCCTCCTTGCTGCTAAAGCTAAAACTTGGCTGAGCATTCCCAGGGAGCAGACAAGCCCACCACAGGAAGCACCAGGATCTGCCCTGGGTGACTGCCATGCCCTCGCTGCAGCATCAGAGCGTGAGTTTGCAGTCTTTGACACGTTGCCTTTTAGAAGAACTAGTTGTTCTTGGAGATGTTTCACTGATAATAAAGCAGGAATGGGATCTGGATGACTAGACACCACATTACTAAACTGCTTTTTAGTTTGTTGAATAAATTTACTCAAACAAAAGAGCACCTAATCCAAAAATCCCACAAAATGGGTGCCACATTGTGATACCTACCGAGGGAATTGTCAGAAACGGGAGGGAGAAGGCAATAGTGGTGGTTGTATGGGAGATGAGTCACACAGTGTGAGTCATGCAGACTGAACCACTGGAGCTACCTGAAGAATCAAGGTGGAGCTGCTCCACAGACACTTCAGAACACCCTGTTGGTAGCAGGTTTTGGTGGCAGAGGAGAGAATGAGAGCCACTCAGCCAGGGCCTTGCTCAGGTTCTAACTGCTGATGAGAGGGGCCACTCACCATATTGAAGTGTAGATTCAAATATGCATCATTTGAATATCTGACTGAACATGAAGTGACATTATTAATAACACTATTGTTCAGAAGCTGGATCAGCCTTTGAAGATTATCGATTAAAATTTAACTACCTACGTAGAGCATGTTACCTTCCCCAACTCGCTTCTAGTAAACTTAGATGCTTGTTATTTTGTTATCTCTTTCAAGATCTAATGAACTCCTCCGTGGTTATAATGCTTATTAAAGTTTCAGTGATGCCCTGTAGTTCCTGCTCAGTGAAGCAGCATTGCCTGACTGTTGGAGGCTGGGCTTGTGCACTCCTCAGTGGTGCCATTCCAAAAACACCCTGGCTCTGATGCAGCACAGCTGCCCTGCCCCTGCTTGCCCAGGGGCTGCCAGCCAGCCCTCTGTGTGCCTCCCCAGGCAGACCCTTAACCCAAGACAAAAACAATGGCATCTGACCCAGCATATTGGGAACCTCCCAGCTCACTTTGCCTTGCTCTGACTCCACCCAAGAGCACACAGCCTTGGGTGAGAAAATCCAAGTCCTTTTTTTTTCTCCAAGTCAGGCTCCCACCTGCTGACACTGCAAGTAGCTTAGGGTAGGGACCTCATCTTTTCCTGCCAGGGACACTGGCAAACACTGTCAGTACAACAAATGAGAGTTTTCTGTTCCAAGTGCTTACAGCAGATGGAGTTTTACAGTTTCTCCTGGCCTGGTTCTGCCGTTGCACAGGATGCAGAGGTGACAGGGACTGGATCGCTGACATGACATGACATGTCACTAAGACCACGACTCATTCATAGGAGGATGTGAGTGAGAAACCACTGCTGGGCTGGCAGTGGCATGGGAGGGACACAGGAGGAGGGCGGACAGTGGCTGCCCTGCCTGGGACCCCCACTCGGGCTCTTTGGCCCCACAGCCTCAGTTTTCTGCTGCTACTGCTTTGACTGGAAATACCCAAATCAAAAGCCAACAGTGAAATGTGGAGCGCCCTCGTTGGAAGTGCATGACTCCCACCTCATTAACAGCGTGCTGGAGTGTGTGTTCACAGCTTGTGAATTTTCTAATTGCATGTTGGCAAATTACTGAGTGTAGGTCTTTGAAGCTACTGTTGCGTTTGTAATATTTAAATGTTTGATTTATTATTCCTGGCTCCAAAATCCATGTTAGAGTGGCTGAAACTTCCTTTTTCTTGTGAATTATTTTATTGCTAATATTATGCTTTTTAGTTTCATTTTTCATCATATATTCTTTTCTTGTCCACAGCTTAGATTAGTTAATTTCCCTGTGCTATCATCTCAATGTTGCTACTCTTAAAATCAAATTTCCTTTTTTCTTTCATATTCTAATGATAAAATGTACTTACAGACACACAATTGCTGTGTAATAGTGGGATGCCACATCATCCTTCCAATCGTATATTCAAAAATAGGCTGGATTTTTATAGTATTTTGTTCACGACAACAAAAAAGAGGCTGAATTGGATGCAGTCTAAGAGAAACATTCATCTTTCATATGCTAAGTAAAGCAAGACGAAGAGATTCCTTTGCACCAGAGAGAAGGAGACAGCTCAATGCATGGCACTGCCTAGTTAAGACTGAAGCTTTCTTTCCATTACAGCTTTAATATTACTCTCTATACCCAAAGAAAACTGATTTTCTTAATATTTTTCTTGCCCCATGTCATTACCAACTAGAGATTTAAAGAGCACTTGGGAGAAATCCAACAAGATTTCTGGAAGTTTTTACCATTTTGAAGACCACATTCTCCTTTACTTTAGAGAAGTGCCATGTTTCATCCCCCAAGGGAGGGAGTCAAGCAGGCAGCACCTGCCTGCAGGAGCCGCGGTTCCGGGGGATCGTGGACTCCAGGTGTGCAAAGGCAGGTCTGCTGAAAGGAATCTGGTGAAAGTCTCGTTCCCTTCAGCGCAGTTCCATGGGACAGTCACACTGACCCCTTCAATACCCCTGCCAAGATCCAGCACCAAGGGAGAGCTCTGCAGAGCAGGTGGGGCCCTGGGCAGGTTGGGACTTGACTGAACACAGCCCTGCTTGCAGCGTATGGTGCTGGATCGGCCCCGTATGGGTTTTTCCCTTCCCCCATCTCCATCCCATATGCGTTGCCTAACCCTGGTCTTGCATGCACACAGGCACCTACATAGGATGCTTCACCGACGATTCGAGGGAGAGGACACTGAAGGGAGCTGTCTTTTATGACTTAAGAAAAATGACAGTAGCTCACTGTCAAGAAGCTTGTGCTGAGAGGTGAGTGGTACTTTTTCACTGCAAGTTTTCTCTCTTCTGATAATAAGTGGAACTGAATTTGAAATGGGAAAAGCATTTCTACATTAGACATACAGCATCTGTAAAAACGGTAATTATCTCATACCTTCAGGCATGGCGTAGCTCTGCTACCCTGCTTGAAGCAGACCACTGCACTACTGCCTATTCTCTATGGCAGCATAGCTACCTACAATATATTTTCTGTTGTCCTTGACAAAAATTACCATATGGTTAAATAGTCTTTGTCAGATACCTGTCTTTTGATAGATACTGGTCTCTAGCCCAAATCTCAAGCTGGCTGCCTCTGTCAAGGAGGCCATGCTGTCCCTGGGGCAGACTCAGCTCTGGAGCAGGGCAGCAGAAGCTCACACCATACACAGGGACGTGCTCCTGCCTCCCTTAGGTACAAAATGGGGAGCAGACGGGTGCCTCTGTGACAACGGCTGGTTTTGCTCCTTGCAGGGCTTACACCTACGCGGGGCTGGTGTACGGAGCAGAGTGTTACTGCGGGAACACCCTCCCGGCCACCGCCTCCAGGCCCGAGGAGTGCAACAGCGAGTGCAAGGGGGAGAAGGGCTCTGTGTGCGGAGGGGTGAACCGGCTCTCGGTCTACAGGGTGGAGGAGCTGCGGGCAGGAGCCAGGAGACGTAAGTGGGTGTGGGACCGAAGAGGGGAGAGATGTCAGGGCCGGGCTGAGCACGTGGGTTGTCCCCGCTGATTGTCTCACTCCACTTGTCACTAGAGTTTGAAATGGCAAAGGACAAAGGTACCTGCAGGGCACAGCATCCATTTGCTGCTGGTCTGGTCCCTGGCTCCCTCCCCAAAATAGCAGCGCTGCTCTCTGCCCCAGAGCAGGGAGACTGCCTGGCACAGCTGCCTCGGGACTGCCATGGAGGAGGTTGGTGTCACCAGGGATGAAACACAATGCAGTGCAGAGCAACTGCAACAGAATTTCAGCTGAAAACCCACTCCCTTTGGCACCCACTGCAGGAGGACAAACCCACGTGTTTGAGAAACAGCCTTGGAAGTGGGTGCCCTATAACAGGAGGGCAGAAAAGCACTCAGATCAAGGCCACCCTAAGCTCAGATGATCCCAAACAAAATGAGTGCTCTGTGACTGCAGCAGGGAGCAAATAGAGGCCAGAGAGAGAACCACAACAATCCCTTTCCTAATTGAAAGAAAAGAGACCACAGAGTTTTGCTTTTCCAAGGACTTCTGTTCCAGCAGCAGTTGGGATTTTTGTTTCATCTTTAGATGGCAACACACTCTACTCATCATTCAATTAGCTGCCATGGGGGACACAATGGATAAACCTTTAGGCCAACACAAAGCACATAAAAGACCTAAACAGCTGATCAGTCTTTTCAATTGGCAAGTTCACAAGACCTTAAGGATGTTATTTGCCGAGAAGAAGCACCAAGGCCTTAGGTTGTGCCAGTATCGATGGTACTTCATTTCTTCTTAAAGACAAGTCAAGGTTTGTATAATAATCCACCCAGCTACATATAAATTATATATCAAAGGTACATAGACTTAAATTGCCACTGTCAGGCTGATGGGCACATTGGCAGGTTTCCCAGGACATGCATCACTGTTTAAACCTCAAGCATAAAATATATATACATACTTGGCAGGAAAAGGCAGCATTTAATTTTTTTTAAAGTATTAATGAATTAGTCATCAAATTAGTCTAGCCTGGAGCTAGATATGTATTTTTTTTGCCCTTAGTAACACCTGATAGTTGTCTGAAGAATCCCCCTGATGCAAGCCAGCTGAGGGGCCAACAGAAGTATTAATCACAATGAACAAGTATGTTGGAAAGTAACTCTGAGACTGTAACAGCCCGTGTGATTTACGCTGTGTAATGTAGAGCACAGACCTTGCGTAAGACTTACACGGAGCAGGTTCAGTGGCATCTCCATTTAAATCTTCTGAGAGATGGGGCTTGCTGTCTCCCCTGTCCGTCCCTCACCTCCTCCTTCCCCCTGCAGTCCCCTGGACACGCCGAGCTGTGCAGCTCCTGTGCTGCAGGTACCCCTACATCATGTCAGGGAAGCTCAAAGCCCACATGGCAGCAGGGGTGGCTGTGGCACAGTGCAGCTTGCCTTGGGGCAGGACTCCCCAAAAGACAGGCAGACCACACAAACCCAGCTGTTTCCAGTGGGATCTGTGGGTTCCCTGTGAACCTGCTCCCTCTAATGCTGGTGTGGGCTGCTCAAGCTTTCTTTCTGACCACTGAGACAACTCTAAACATGTTCATAACCATTTTGTTTCAGGAATTAAATATTAGTGTGAAGTTTAGTAGGAGGCCTTTCAAGAACATCCTGAGAAGCCCAAACATGCCCAGGTCCTTCATTCTTTGGTGCTGTGCTTGCAGTGACCTGGTCCCAGGGAGACTCCTGTTCCCCTCAGCTTGGGTCAAGTTATTTTATTTTCACATCACCTGAGTGATCCCAGAGATCCAGCACTGCTTCTAGTAACTGGTTTGAACAGTTATTAGAACAATATTTAAGCAGCTTCTCCTTAGATTACTCTTGACTCGTCCTGGAAAATCTGGGCTTTTCTGCCAGGAAATTCATGCAGAACCAGTTTTTTTCTTCATAACTACACTGCATCTCTCCTGTCATCCAACTCACTTCCCACGTCAGTTCTGGTGATACTGTTCAAGGGAGACCCTGTAATTCTGCCAAGATTTGTGGTGTTTCTACAGAAGCAGGTGAGATCAGAGGCTGGTGCTAAAGATGTGGTGGAAGCTGTTCTCCCAGACCAGTTGACAAAAACTCAGTTTAGGGCCTGAAGGCTGCAGCAAATTCCCTTGGCCTGAAAAGCAGGAGAGGGAGGAGAGAGGCAGCTGAGCAGGAAAATGGGTCCAGGGAAGGTTTTTTTCAGGATTCATTTACATGCCTTTCCTTTCCTGGTGCAGATCTTGGGAAGCTTTGTAGATTTTTATCAGGGTTTTGAGGGGAAAGCAAGTCTTCAGAGGAAACTGGGACCTGCAAACAATAGCAATGCTGTCCACTGGTGGAATGTAACCCAGACCCTGTGCTGCAGCCCTGCTTTCCATGGTTTGTACAAAGCTGGAGGCATGTGCTCCTTGCAATACCACAGGATTTGCAACACGTTTTTCTAGCATATATCAGGGTTTCTCTTACTTCTGCAGCCTTTGTAATATAAAATTTATTTTATTATTTTTGGCTTCTGAACCTAGTATTGTTCTTTGTGAAAGAGGCAGGATACTACGGACGTCGTATTCTTAAGAGAAACCTATTTCATATCCCCGCAGGGAGGAATGTTATCTATCGAGGATGTTTTAGAGCTCCAGAAAATTTAACAGACACCTTTCCAGCCTCTTTGATACAGCCCAATTTGACGGTGGAGATGTGCTCTGAATTTTGCTCCAAGAAAGTAAGAACAGTTCTCATTTCACATCCTTTCTTCTTTTTTGTTAAAGTCTAATCTACTAAGGGAAGGGCAGAGATTAGTGCCTTAGAGCTTTGAATTTGTAAATGAGTTTCTAAAGGACAAAACTCATCAGAGTAAATACCCAGTGATGCATCTGGTCCAGCCACTGGAGTGGGGATGGCAGGAGGGAAAGCCATGAGAGCGGTGCCACATGATACACAGAAAAGCTGCTCTAAGTGATGAGTATCGACCATGAGGAAATCAATATTGTCTCTATGTCACATTCCAGCCAAGCCCTGAGCCAGATCTGACCCCGAGGGAGGTCTCAGTGGCTGCAGCTCATGGGGAGGCTCGCTGCCAGAGGGGGGATGTGGGCTGGCAGCATCTGAACCAGAACTCTAGTGCCCTGCGGGGAGCCAGCCCTGCTCAGCTCTCAGGGAGCTGTGGGCAGGGCACCTTCTGTTTTAGTGGCTGTTGGTCCTCTTCCCTCCCTCCCCAGTCTGATGGGGCCAATTTTTTGTACAGAGGGTTCACTGTGTGGTCAGATTTTGCCTGCAGCCACATTCGGCCTCATGCACTAAGCTCAACATTCAATTGCTTTTTGCAGCATCACAAAATCGATTAAAACTATGAAGGCATGAAAAACAAATCTTCTTAATTACTAGGTAGAGTGGGGAAGCTTTTCCCAGTCAACATATCCTCTAAACCAGTTTTAAGAATGCACTGTGGAATTAACTCTGTGCAGTGAATTGCCCACATACCCTGTGTACAGCACCTCACAAACACACACCCCAACACACTCTCATATCCTCTAGGCATAGAAATGTTCAGGAATTAGTGAGCAATTATTTCCAAGCTCTGCTATCAGTCTATTGTTTAATGGCGAGAAAAAATCTTGATCTGTGTCAGTTTACCCCATGTAACATAATTCTATTAATATTTACTGATGAAATGCAATTAATTATTGCTTCTCTGTCTGGGAGAATGATATGAAACATGGAGAAGCTGTTTTCAGATGGGCTCATGAGGTCAGTTTTTTTAAGCACAGTCCTGCCATACTGTTTTTGGGAGATGATTTTTCTGAAAAGACAGGTTTTCAGAAGCATAGTTTCTTCAAGTTTTTCCAGACATCTGAAATTACTGGTGACTGAGAAGGACAAGGAAAAGATAACAGCCAAAATGTACCACATGAACATGACATCCAAACAGGTTTAGGATGGAGGACACTGTCCATCTCTGTGGAATAGCAATAGAGATGGAGTTAGAGCTAATGCATATTTGCTTGATGTAGCTTGAGTGAGAAAGTCATCAGCAACCCAGATATTACAAAAGATTATCTAAACAGACTCTTTCCGCACAGAAGGCACAGAGAGGGCTGCAAAAACGATAGCATGAAGAGAAAAAGCTACTGAAGGAAGGTGAAGAACAGGTTTGGTACCTCTCATTTATTGCTTCCTTGAAATGGTGCAGGTAACAACTCGCTGTTAGCTCTGCTGGGCACTGTGAGACCCTCTGCAAAGAGACTATTTCCCTACAAAAGACTGGCAATTTCTCCCTCTGCTTCAGAAGCAGAATTGCATATCCACAAGTCCAATTGTCACACATCAATTTGTGGTTTAACTCCAGATACTTAAACAAGACCTGTTATGACACCCCAAACATGTGTGATGACATGAATAAAATCTGGAAGAACACGCTCTCTCTCTTGAGAGCTGCAGTACCTCATGGCATCCGAGCCATGGCAACAAGTCTGCACACTTGAACATTTCCACCTCTAAGGTGCTTTTCTTTTTTTTATGGAGCAATTCACAGAACACAGTGATCTTCTCAATTCAAAACCAGACCTGCTATTTTGGATTCCAGATGTAGCTACATGCACTTATCTACCCATAAACAAATGACTCCTGGGATTTGGATTCAAATCCCATTGTAGAATTCATACAGAGTGATTCCATAGCTTGATTTAGATATTTTTTTAAACACAATAAAACAAAGATAAGTAGGCCAGAACCTTGACTGACACAGATAATCACAGCCTTGCTGACTTTACTGCAGCAGTGAGAGGGGAACATTCCAAATAGGGTCACACTGGGTCTAACATTGCCCTGCAGAAATGTCCCCTGGCTCAACAGATCACAGAGAAAAACAAGCTGTAATTTTTATGCAAGGACAGGATTGACTTTATGGTATTTATACTTTGCTTTTAGCATATCCAGTGCAATGACAACTTGAAGAATGACTTCTAGATTTGCTGCAAAATGAACATGCCAATTTTTAAATTAACCAAACCCATCAGTTTTACTTGGGAGAGGAATTTCCTTCTGCAATTAGACCCCATCTCTTATTCTTTCTGATAGATTGAAAGAATTTAACTGCATCAGATAGGAGAGTTAGCATAGGAAGTTGGAAAAGGAACTAATTTAGCAGAGTAATCAGAGCAAAACAGATAAATGTATTTTTAATCTATTCATAATTCTTATTTGGATACAGCCTACTACAAAACAATCAGTGATTGAATCATATCAACTGTGTTGCTATTGGAGAATGTTTGCTTTCCTTACACCACTCAAGCTACCTGTTGAGGCTTCATCTCACAAATTCTTGTGTAAATAGTCCCACTGAAATCACCTCTCCCTGAGTTACAACTCACAGGATGCACACCTGAGCCTGTCAGTGCCTGCTTTACAGCTCAGTCCAGGAAAATGCTTATCCACAGCCCCACAGAGCTCTCTGGCTGTGTGCTGGTGTCTCACCAAAGCACAGCATCACAGATCTGTGTGTGCTGAGCTCCAGGACTAGTCCCTCACTTCAAAGTTAGATGGTTACTTCAAGCCATGACCCCAGCTTGGGGCACACCTAAATACACAGGTGAGCAAAGGGGATGGCTCAGACTTTTGCTTAAACACTGATGGGAAGTCAAGACTGAACAGGTCACTTTGCAGTCACTGCGCTGCATCAGGCAGGCAGAGCAGCGGGCAGGCAGAGCAGCGGGCAGGCAGAGCAGCGGGCAGGCAGAGCAGCGGGCAGGCAGAGCATCACAGCACTTTGCACCAAGGCCGTGGGTCCTGGTCAGTCTCTTCTCCCAGGGAACAAGTCACAGGGCATGAGGAAAAGCCCTCAAGTTGCACTGGGGGAGATTTATACCGGATATTAGGAAAATGTGGAGATTTCCCTTGCAAAGCCCTCTCCCAGTTTCTCCTCTTCCTCACCCATGTGAGGAAGGCTGCACAGCTGAGGGTCAGCCCTTTGTGCTGAAGGGCTGCAGAGCACCCACCAGCTTCTGCAGACACAGGAGGTAGGGAGAAGTGGTTGCTTATGTCTCCTCACAAAAGCCCGGGCCTTCCAGAACAGTCCTTCACTTGCAGGGGCCACTTGGTGTGAGATACAAGGAACATTTTTTTCTAGGCTGTGTTTGAGGGCAGGGACACATTAATTTCTCAAACTGAGAAACACTGCTTCATTGTAAAGGAAAGATTTCTGTTTGCAGGCAAACCCAGAACTGTTTTGCCCTTGGATCAGGTCTGTGAATAGTTTCTGACAATGTCATATCTGATTCGCTGAGCAAATGTTGGCTGGTGGGGCACACACAGCACACGTGTTGCATTTGCCTCCTTATCGGAGGATGAACGCATGGGCAAGAGCAAGAGATAAGCTGCTCAGCAGTCCTGTCATGCTTTCCCAGACTCAAAAAGACTTTTATAAGACAAAAAGTGTTGATATGGAATAGGGGGACTTGAACATTCTGCACTCAAATAGTCCCTGAACTTACTTCTGCCGACTCACACAGCCCCGCATGAGCTCACAGGGGACTCTGGGACAAGCCCACTCCTTACAAAAACAGGAGAAAACCTGAATTTTAGGGTAAATAAGCAACTACTAATTTCTTCAGCAAATAATTAACATGTTTCCCTCAAACTTGCTTTAATTCTTACCACCATTAGCCCAAATGCAGCTTTGCAGCCTGTTGCCATCCTCGATAAGAGTAGTACAACAAAACCCGAATTATTCTGCATCAAATACATTAAAGAAAACATTTCTTATGGACAAAAATTTTCCTTGGAAATTCATTCCTTGCAAGGAACACTGACTGTAACTTCCTCATGGTTGCACACCTTAGGAGGTTTCCTATCTAGAAGCAAGGTAGCACAAAACACAGAATCACAGAATCTGCTGAGTTGGACATGTCTGTGCCTGAGGGCAGAGTCCAGGCACCAGCTGAGCTCACCCCATGGCACCCAGGGCAGAGCCACGTGTGGGCACCACGGGTCCCCCCTGCTGCCATCACAGTCCCTCTGAAAAATGGGCCAAAAATCGCTGGGTGGAGCATTTCTAAATAGTTCTTTCAAAACTATACCCAGTAGCTCTCAAACCCTCTACCAGCCCCTCTCTGCACATTCATTTTTTTGCAAACTGTGAGGTCACACTAAGATGCAAACTTTCTTTATGGCTTGACTTTGTTCTTTCTATCTTTACACATGATTGCAGCAGTCAGTGGGTCCACAGTTCCTTCTTCCCTTTAATTCTTTTAAGAGCAAGTTTCCTCTACACAAACTTTGGTAAAATCAACTGAATAAGGCAAACTTGTGGCAGCTGACTTGGTTTGAGGGAATGTAAATGGAACTTTAAAGTTCTTTCAATTCAAAATGCTCATTTTTGGAGGCAAGTTCAAACTTTTCCTACACTGATATTTTGCAGGTGCAATTACATACTAGGTGCTGCAGGAGTGTTATAACTTTTTTTTATGAATTATGAAAAAGAATATTGTCAATTTTAAAAGTTTTTGAGGTTTTTGCCTGAAACCCACTTTTTAGGTAATTACAGTATGAAAACAGTAATAGTAAAAGAGCACTAGCTTTAGAATGACATATCAAACACTGCTTTCATCTTGATAGTGGCCTTGTGAAGATTTATTTTCTTTGCACGGCAGCAGCATTCCCCACAGACTGTTGATGCCCTGGCATTTCTGCACTGATCCATTTTCTCTCTTCCGTAGGAGTTTCCCTTGGCAGTGATCCAAGGGCAGGAGTGTTACTGTGGATACCCCACCGGGCGGTTCTCCCTGCGCGAGGGCGCGGACGGGCTGCGCTGCCGCGGGACACGCAACACCAGCAGCGCTGCCCAGGGAAAGTACTGCCTGGTCTATCAGACACCCGTGCAAGGTACAAGCTCCAGCCTCACTGTGCCAGGGTCACCACTGCTGGAAACAGCCCCTGTGCCCCTTCTGCAGCGGGTAAAAGTGATCTCCTTTACAGCAGTCTGAGCCACAGTAGTGGGTATTGTGACACAGGCAGGAATTTAGGAAACGGACTTTATCTAAATTCCCCCTTTGTAATCATGCTCATGAAGATGCATCTTTCCATTCTCTCACTGCACAGCACAGCCTCCCCTCAACACAGAACAACAACTTTATTCTGCAGATGGAGAGAATGAGGTAGACCTGGGAAGGTATTGCCCCACCACACAGCTCCCAGACAGGCAGCCACCAAGGCAACTCTGCAGACTCTAATTCTGCTCTACTCATCTTCCTCTAAAATATTCACCTGCATACATGTTTAAGACTGGAAAACAAGGTAGAGAGTAAGCTTCCAATCCAGAAAACCATTTAGGTGGTTCTGGCAACTTTATCCATGCAGTGATTTACATTGAGTTCAGTGAAACTTCTCACTGAAGTTTAAATAAACTTATTAAGCTTAAAATAAACAAATTAAGTGCTTTTCTGGATTGGCGATGGGCTTTTTTTCCCCCTAACACCCTTTTTTTTTTAATCCCCATCTCCCAGTTCAGAGGTAGCCTGCAGACACCAGCATGTGGAAAGACCATGCAAGAAGAATGCTTGTTTCCATGAAAGTGCTGGTACTTCCCAGGTCTGTAGAGATCAGCAGTAGTGGGAGACTGCCTTCTCTGGGCTGTGCAGGCACTTTCTAGCCATGCCTTCATCTAGAGCTTGCTCTGAAGAATGAAGAGAGCTGGCTTCTTGATGAATCATCACAAGATGATGACACAGGGTCAAGATTGGTTCTCATCCTATCCTTGGTTTCACTGGCATGTTAAGAAGCAAGGTGAGGATTTACAGAAGCACATATGAAAGCAGGTATCTGACTCCATGGCTGCAGGGCTCCCCAGTGCCTGCCCCCTTCAGAGGAATGGAAGTGCAGAGATTTAACTAAAGGCAGCTCCTTTCAGTAGGATGGTTTTCTCCTGTGTTATAAAACTCCCAGTTTCCAGGTGTAGTGGCACATTTCAAGTTCCATTGCAGAGCCAACCTGACAGGCAAATAGCTGCTAACAAACAGGCATCACCTAGGGGCTTTTAGCACAACTTACTGGCAAGTACAATGGTTTGCTGCAGCTTTATCAAAAAAACACTGCCTAACACAAAACCAGCAGAAACCTCTCTGAGGATAATCTCTTTGGCCTCATATGGTTGAATTAATTTTGGGAAATAGCTGACTCACAACCGGACTCAAATTGATATCCTATATTCATAAGAGAGAGGAGGAAGCAATAAACCCTGTAATCAAGAGCTGTCAGTGGAATTATTAAAAAGCCACAATGCTAACAATGAAATATCTTCTCTACTCACAGACACTCGCTGCACAGACAGGAAATTCTTAACCACCAAATCCAAAGTGTTTGTTGCTTTGTCGAGTTTTCCTGGGGCTGGGAACACGTGGGCTCGCCACCTGATCGAGCATGCCACGGGATACTACACGGGAAGTTACTACTTCGATGGAGCCCTCTACAACAAAGGTACCATGTCCCAAGGGATGGCACACACGCAGCCCTTCCAAGGCACAGGGCTTTACTCATTGCATTCTTCTGCCTGAGCCAGCAACGGCTGTCACTGTCAGCACATTTGGTGAAACTTAAACACACGCCTGGACCAAGCAGCCTCCCACGGTGCAGATGGCAGCAGCTGCTCTCAGAGAGAACAGCCAGGCTCTGCATTTGCAAATGTGCATATTGCCCACATTGGTGCCCTGTGCACACACACATGTGCAGTTCCCATCTGACAGGCTGTTGCCTAAACCCTGTGGGTAAGACCCTTCACGAGCACAGGAAACATGAAGGTTAAAATTTTCAAATGTTACTAATTATTCTGGGAGGGCCATATCCCGAGGGGGCAGACATTTAGCAAGCACCAAGCACTGGCCCTGGGAAAAGCTGCCTTGTGGCAGCGTGGGGCCAAGGGTGCCTTGCCCAGGGAGGGAGAGCCTGGCTGCCAGTGGGTTTAACTGACCAGTACTGTCACACCAGCTTTACACCACTGTAGGCAATGATTTAGTGCAAAAAGGCACAGACATACAATCAAGTGAAAAAGCCAACAATCCTGTCTTGTAAAACAGGTTTTAAAGGAGAAAAAGACCACTGGAGAAGTAGAAGGACCATCTGTGTGAAAACACACGAAAGTGGCAAGACAGAGATTGAAATGTTCGACTCGGCGATCCTGTTGATAAGGAACCCCTACAAATCACTGATGGCAGAGTTCAACAGAAAATACGCCGGGCACCTGGGCTATGCCACCGACCGCAACTGGAAGAGCAAAGGTAAGCACCACGCCCACATGGGCTGGTTTGAAACCCACCTCCTCAGCATGCTGGGAAGGGGGGACACACTGGGACCTGAGTGAGCACTGCAAACCAATTCAGCGGGACCCGCGTCCCACCACACCCGAGATCAGCCCCAAAAGCACTTAGACCTGCCCTGTGGGAGCAGTTGTTGTACACCCACCACCATGGGGAGGAGGGGAGCACAGCACTAACACCATGGCCACAGCCACACAGGAACACCACTGCCATTGCACTGTTGGGCTGAGAAGACATATCCAGGTACAACACTCCTGTGCACAGCCCATTTGCCAGGCTATGTGAGGTGAAGAAAATTTGCCCCTGCAGCATGTAATAACCATGAAAAATCTAATTTAAGATTTGGAGGATCCAATGGAGCATGACATTTCCTGAAGGAAATTTTACAGCACTGTACAGGTGCTACAGCACTGCAGATAAATAACAATAATAGCAATAAGGGGACTTGAGATTCAGTGTCCCCTGAACACATGAAAAGACTTCAGAACCTGCCCGCCACGCTTCACGTGTTTGACTGGCAAGTTGGCTGGGGACTGCAATTTCCCCACTGGATATGCTGCTGCACTCAGACTCTGCAGCAGAAAAGACATTTGGCTTCCATTTCTCCTTGTGCATATTTTAGGCATTACAGCTGTGGCTTGGCACAGGGCGGGGGGGGGAACTGTCCTGTGTCACACCACATTTCTTCCCCAAGTCCACGTATCACCTTTCATCGGTCACAACCCAAGACCTATTCATCAAAACCCACAAAAAAAAGTCCTCAGAAAAAAGTCTGGAGGGAATGGCTTTACCATACTGCAAATTTCGGCCACAATGCTCTTTGTCCAGCCCAAAAGCTTTTGGCAGGGCTATCTTGACCTTCAGAAATTAAATTAGCACAAACAGCAAATAGAGATCAAGGTATCATTAATGCCCAAGGCAAATTGCTGAATCGCAGCATGGCTAACAGTGTCTCATTTTCCTGGTTTTCTGGTCATCCAGAGTGGCCAGATTTCGTGAACAGCTATGCTTCCTGGTGGGCCTCCCACGTCCTGGACTGGCTGAAGTACGGGAAGCGCCTGCTCATTGTCCACTACGAAGACCTAAAGCAGAGCCTCATCCCCAAGCTCAGGGAGATGGTGGAGTTTCTGAACGTGACAGTGACAGAGGACCGGCTGCTCTGTGTGGAGAACAACAGGGATGGGAATTTCAAGCGGTCAGGTGCTAAGCAAAAGGATTTTGAGCCATTCACCCAGGAAATGAAAGATCTTATCAACAGATACATCCTGACGGTGGATGAAGCCCTGAGGGGAAGAAACTTCACAGGGCTGCCCAGGGAGTACGTGCCAAGATGATAGCCTGGTATCACACTGCTGTGGTTAAAAATAAAGTATTTTTTTCTTAAAAAAAAAAAAAAACCACAAAACCACAAACAAAACAAAAAGAAAAACAACAATGAAAAAATCCCAGTACTCTCTAGCAGTTACAGCAAAGATACTTGTGGAGGCTGCTGAGAACTGCAAATTCTCTCCACTCTTGGGAGGTTCTTCAGGGCACTAAGTGCTCCAGAAGGGAAGCAATGAAGGATAGAAATTGGGTTATAAACCAATGCAAAAAAGCTGTTAGTCTACCTGTGTGTGCCCCTCCCTGCCCAGGTAGCTCAGAGCATCCCAGCAAAACATCCCCACCCCTGTGGCACCTGTCTGCTCGCCCTACTGCCACCACAGACCTGCCAGGGGCTGCTTGGGATTCCACAGCAACTGTTGGAAATGGATGTGCTTAAAGGGGGAGAAGAGCGGGGAGTCTTAACACTGATCAGCAATTTTCATCTGAGCATTTAGGAAAATCGATTGCTTTCTTATTCCTATAACCCATTAGTCAGGTCACCTGCCACAGCAGTGCCAGGGCTGCACCGGGGCGTGGAGGTGCCGTGGATGCTGGGCAGAAAGGTGCTTCTGGAGCAACCCCAGACTGCCCTGCAGGAACAGCAGCCTGTGAAGTTAAGGACCACCTGAACTCCACAGGGAGGCAGGGTGGCCACAGCATCCCCCATGGTGAGGTGCACAGCAGGAGAACAGAAATTCAGCATGGCCAGTTGGGAATCCCTGGGTGTTATCAGCCCCAAACCTGGCCCCAGGGGCATGGATGAGACCCCAGAGGGTGGCAGAGGACAGAAGCCACCTGTGCTAGGGCCTTGGCACAGGTTTCTGCACCTCCATCTCTGCACCTGGAGAGTCACAGTGGATCTGGGGAGACACTGGGGCCAAATGTCACCACAGCTGGTGCTCTTGGTTCTAGAAGTGGCCACGGCCAAGCAGTACTGACATGAGCCTGGACTGCCTTGGGAGCAGGGGCAAAGGGGATGGCCCCACCTTGCCCCTCATCCCTGGAGGAACTCCAAGGCAGTCTGACCTGAAAAACCACAGCTACTTAAAGCTGCCCTCTGGAGCCACCCAGAGCAGCCATGAAGGTTTGATTTCTAACTCCTGCTGCTCCCTGTGGCTCCTTTCACCCTGCACCGGGGCTGTGTGTGGTGGGGAGGGAGTGAGGGCACGGGGGGCTCCCAGGGCAGCTGTCCCATGATCCTGGACCACCAGGCAGCTTGGAGATGGTGAAACATCGCAGCCGAAGGGGCTGCCCTGCTGCAAGATGCTTCTGTTCATGTGAAATAAAGGATTTCTTAAAAATTTGAGTGAAAATACTAGTTTTAATAAAACAAGAAGTTTATATAAAGGAAGTTGGACTTCCTCTGCCTGTGTATCATTGGTGTTAAAAAAACAAACCAGGATCTAGAGTACACTTCAGCCTGAGTCTCTCCCTGCTTTACGCTCCACATACAGCTCATCTCTGTGCCACCTGGCTGGCATGGGGGTTTTTGCAGGGCTGGCATGTCCCCACCACCAATCTCCAGTGCCTCCCCAGCAGTAAGGGCCCCAAGGGCCAAAGGGAAATGGTGAGGGATTGCAGTGGACTGAACTGGTTCACAAGGAAAACCGAAATTCTTTTCATTTATGCAAGGGGCACAGCTCAGAGAAACCAACTGAGTTTGGGTGCTGTAAGCCCAGATAAAGGCAATGGGAAGACCCTGACGTGCCTGCACAGAGCACAGCCCTTCCTGGGATGCCATGCAGCCCCCAGACAGGGGCATGGCTCACACACACGGATACCAAAAAAACCCCCAAATACCACCAAAATCCAATAATAATGTGCCAGTAACAAATACCACAGATAGTAAAGAAACACCCAGGTATAGAAACACCCCCATAAAGTAGATAAATTAGGATGCTACAAAACAGGACTATTACGGTCTCTACTGTGACTTAGTAAAGAGCTGATTCTTTCTGAAATTATGCATTAAATTACTTCCAAGGTTCATTTGGGCAGCAGTTGCTGTTGACGGACATGGGCCACGTCCTACAGAGTTTGAGCCCAGCCTATGGAAGGTGCACAAATACTTCACAGAAAGAAATTGCTCATGGCCTCACTGAATTACGTGCCTGAGACCACAGACCAGAATTTGGGCCCACCACAAAACATTAAGATGATGAGAATGACATTTTATTACATTGCCTTTCCAGCCTGGTATAGCTTTACAGGACCATTTAAAAAATACTTTGATCATTTCAAACCCTGTAAATGGTGAGCAGTGACAGGCTGTGAACTCTCAAGAAGGCAATTTAATTATGTGCATGTCCTGTAATGAAGGCTGTAGGTGGCTAAAATTAGAACTGGCAAAAATTATGAATATGCATTAGCTTGGTGATGCCAAAAATGAGCTCATTTGAAAAAAGAAGTTGTAGATAACCATTTCTTAAGAGCTTAGGTACAGGGACTCCCTCATAATTTTTATACATTTTATACAAAATATGTATATACATTATATATCTGTATGAACAGACACAGGAACACATCAGTTTGTGTATGTTCTGCCAGGGTTCCTTTATGACCATAGGAATAGTGAAGGACTTCTTGGGTCGTGGCACACAACCCCTGCCACTGCCTGCACCACCACATACAAGTCACCCACACAAATAAACTGACTTCTATCTTAAAAATAGCTGCAGTATTTTCACCCCTTTCTCTGCTAAGTAAAAGGTTGCAGAATGTTCTCTACTGCTCGGGAACCATCTCCAGACTAACAGCCTGAACAGTCAGAGCTCACACTGTTCTTCTCACCACACTTTTTTTGGCCAGCATTGTCTTTTAGCTGAAGTAGTCCTTCTTCTTTGCCTTGAGATGTGCTCACAGACATTGATCACATCCTCTCTTGAGCTCCATTTTGCAAGGGCAAATATTCTGTGGTCCTCTACCCAGCTTCCCTGCAAGGCAGGTTTTCCCATGCTTATCACACTGAGCTTTAATTAACCAGCATGTTTTAGTTAAAAAAAAAAAAAAAAAAAAAAAAAGCACTATCATGCCACTGAAAGCCATGTTGATGTTCACTCCATGTACAGTTTCCTTCTGATTTTGTATTCCATAGCAGCATATTAGAAATGGAAGAAGTATGCATGCAATTCCCTCAAGCTTTCAGTTTTCCCCAGGAAGTCGTGAGTCATGAGCAGGCAACCAGAACAAAACAGAGATTCTATGTTTGAAGAAGAGTTTAACACTTGAGATTTTTAAAGTGAACAACAGTCACAATAAAGAAGCTGTAATCCAGATTCTCCACTGAACTGCAGCTACATTCTGTCTGCTGCACACCCAGATTCAGGTTACTCCAACCACTCTCCTGTTTGATCTCAACTGTCCTGCTCTTGACTCAAGACCTCAGAACCAACCTCCAGACACACCACCAAGTTCAACTGGTTTTTCTCTTAAAGAAGTAGCTAAAGTTTTGCATTTCTCTCCTTCCAGAAAAGCCACTGCCAGGACCTACATTTGCAGACACCCTCTCCCCTGCCATCTGCACAAAGTCCACCACATCAACAAATGATGTGCCCTGGGTGCTCTAACACCGAAAACCAGGTGGCTCAAACAAGCATCCCCAAAGATGACAGGCAATGACAATGCAGGTGGAGTCATTCCCTATGAGCCAGGCCACACGTGGAATCACCACAGGCACATGAGCTTGCTGCAGACACTGCAATAGCACACAGCCAACACTGAGTCCTGGCAGGATGGAATTCTCTGCCCTGGGAAAGCAAAGGTCCTGGAAAACTTTTACATGTAGGTGAGAGACAACCTCTCTACAGAGAGAGACTGGGTCGGTCTCTCAATTAGAGATCTACTCACACCTCAAGTACACTTGCACTCCTATGGAGAGGGAAACAAAAAAACAAGAGAGAAAAAGAGCAGATAAACCGTACTAGGAAGAGAGGATATAATAGGAGAGAAAATGGTTTTGCTTCCCAAAAACCAACTGAAAAATAAAGCCTTTAAAGCCCAAAAAAGCATAAACGTCATTGCCAGCAATTCAGTCTTTCTGCACTGCTTTATTAATTTTCCATTAAACTCATTTCTTTTAAAACCCATTCCTCACTTCTAAGACCAAGCTACTACACTACCACAGCAGTATTAACCTCCATTAAATAATTAAAGGATGGATTATCATCATCAAACCTCATGTGTCACCTCTCTGAAACCTAATGTCTCTTCCAATGGCCTGGAATATAATGAGATGTTCAAATATAAAAAGTTGAGTTACTGCTTTTTTCAGTTATGACATTTACTCAGTCAGAAAGATCTAACTTTTCAACTGCATTACTTACAATTTACTTATGATCCTGGTGGTTGAGAGCAATGTTTAAGGAAGCTATCCCTTTGAATCTCCTTTTTAGATTAGCATTTAATTACTGTAACAAATTTCCAGATGTACAAATTATAATGGACTGTAAATCAGCTCTTCCCCTTTGAACCACAACGTTGCATTTTTTGGCCTTCTGTATCCTCAGACCAAACATCTATCTCTTCTTAGCTCTTGTTCTTCACAGTACCTATTTATGTTCAGTTAGTGGTTTCTAGGTCAGGAGCTTTCCCCATTGCAGGACTCCACCTTCCCCCCAAACACTGGGGTCTGGTTTCAGGCTCCTCAGGTGGCACCATGATGCTGCTTCTGTTACAAATAGAGCAACTCCCAGGCATGTCCAAGAAAATGCAGGAAACTTTTCAGAAAGTGTATAATTTCTACATGTGGGGCATGGTCACCGCTGATGGCTGCATGTTTTTGACCAAGATACCTCCAAGAGCAGCAAAGAGAAGGGCTGTCCTTAGTCACATGAACTGGCCTCAAACAATCCCTCAACTAAAGAGAGATATGACTGAAGTGCATTATTAAAAGAAATGTCTTATGCGACAGTTAAGATGGTGTGATAGGCCCAAAGACTTTTAAATTAGATCAGTTCTAATTGAGGAAATGAGATATCATCAGTCTGGTCTCTCCTCTCCCTCTTACTGCAGATCTGTGTCTCTCCCCTGATTTTGGAGCTTGCTTGTCCCCTCCCTGCCCAGGGGAGGGTGGTCTGCGGTTACCAACTTGCC